CATCTCCTCACTGGGCAGGTCCTCCAGGCCTGAATCTCCAGGAACCCCCTTCTAGATTTATCTAGCAGTAGCAGTTCAGCAACTCTCCAAACAGAGCCTCCAGAAGCAACTAAAAGTCTCTCCACCACTGCTTCTGCAGTGGAACTGCCCTGTGACCCTCAGGCTAATCGAGGAGCAAAGACCCTCGGTGCCTTATTCATGCCTCCGACAAGTTGAAACTCAAGGAGAAGAGGTTAGTTCTTCTTCCATGGGTCTCACACACACCTCACTGCTCATCACCAGACCGGAAACCCCTGGCTTGGGTCCACAGCATAGACCCTCCATCCTGGTCTGACTGCACTGAGAGAATGCTGACCTGCATCTCTCTGGGTGGAGACCCCAGGAGATAAGCAAATGAGCCTTGGTCACAACCACTATCAAGATTCCTTTCTTCGCTTCTTCCAAGGTGGGAAAGGAACATAAACCCTGAGATCACCTCAGAGCTGCAGTGGGAAGCCCAGGAATTCCAAGTCATGATCTACAGCCAGCACTTAAAGGGGAGAGGAACTCATACTTTCAGGTCATTAAGAGTGAAGACAACTGCAACTGTGAGGAAACGTAGGGGAGACGCACAATGAAGTACGAGTCTACCCACACCCCAAAGCTTTACCACCAAAAATATCTCACTAACCTACTCCCTTCAGAAACCAAAGACAAGAAGTCAGCTTCAAATAAAGACCCTGCACAAAGCCTCAGCCTGGTGAAATACCCAGAAAAGAAGTCTATTTGACTGTACTCAATCTACATTGTTTTAAAGGAACATCCATAAACAGAGATGAGAAGGAACCAATACAAGAACACTGGTAACTAAAACGGCCAGAGTGTCAAATGTCCTCCAGACAACCACACCAGTTCTCCAACAAGAGTTCTTAACTAAGCTGAACTGGCTGGAATGACAGGAATATAATTTAGAATAAAAAGAGAAAAAAGATCTTTGAGATTCAGGAGGAAAGCAAAACCCAATCACAATAAAGTGACACAGAAGCTGGAGAACAAAATAGCTGGTAAATAGACACTCTAGGTCTGACAGAGTGGGATAAAACAATATAAGAATTTCACAATGCAATCTCAAGTATTAACAGCAGTATAAACCAAGCTGAGGAAAGAATCTCAGAATGTGAAGATTGGTTCTCTGATATAAGACAGTCAGATAAAAATAAAGAAAAAAGAATAGAAAGGAATTAACAAGAGCTCTGAGAACTATGGGATTATGTAAATAGGCCAAATCTAGAAATTACTGACATCCCTGCAAGGGAGGGGGAGAAAGAAAGCAAACAAATTGGAAAACGTATTTCAGGATTTTGTCCATGAAAACTTCCCCAGTCTTGCTAGAGAGACCAATGGTCAAATTCAGGAAATACAGAGAACTCCTGCAGGAGTCTACACAAGAAGATTTTCCCTAAGGCACATAACCATCAGATTTTCCAAGATCAAAATGAAATATAATAGTAGACCTTTCAGCTGAAACCCTATAAGCCCAGAAGAGATGAGGGCTTATATTTAACATTCTTAAAGAAAAAATATCTTTAACCAAAAATTTCATATTCAGTTAAACTAAGTTTTCTAAGCAAAGAAGAAATAAAATAATTTTCAGCAAATGTTGAGAAAATTCATTACCACCAGACCTGCCTTCTAAGAGATCTTAAAAAGAACACTACATATAGAAAAGAAAGACCACTACCAGCTAACATAGAAAGCACTCTTAAACACACAGACCAGTTTCACTCTAAGGGAGCCACACACACAAGCCAACATAATAACCAGCTAATGGCATGATGACAGTATCAAATTTGTACAAAACAGTACTAACCTTGAATGTAAATGGGCTAAATGCCCGACTTGAAAGACACAGAGTGGCAAGATGCATAAAAAAGCAAGACCCAATGGCATGCTGTCTTCAAAAGATCCATCTCACATGGGTCTTTCTAATGACACCCATAGGGTCAAAATAAAGGGATGGAGGAAAATCTACCAAGCAAATGAAAAATAGAAAAAAATCAGGAGTTGAAATCCTAATTTTAGACAAAACAGATTTCAAAACAATGAAAATCAATAAAGATAAAGAAGGGCATTACATATTGGTAAGGGGTTCAATTCAACAAGCTAACTGTCCTATACATAGATGCATCCAACACAGAAGCACCAGGATTAATAAAGCTAGATCTTAGAGACCTTCAAAGAGAAATACATTCCCACACAGTAATAGTGGGAGACTTCAAAACTCCACTGATGGTATTAGACATATCATTGAGGTAGAAAATTAACAAAGTTATTCAGGACCTGAACTCAACATTGAACCAAATGGATCTGATAGACCTTTACAGAACTCTCCATCCATAAACATTAGAATATACACTCTTCTCTCCACATGGCACATACTTTAAAATTGACCACATAATTGAACATAAAACAGTCCTCAACAAATGCAAAAGAATCAAAATCATAGCAAACACACTCTTGGACCACAACACAATAAAAATAAAAGTTAAGACTATGAAAATCTCTCAAACTCATGCAATTGCATGAAAATTAAACAATAATCCTTCATGTAAAAACATAATAAATAGGATTTTGAAGGAATGCATCTCAAAATAGTAAGCGCGGTCTATGACAGTCCCACAGCCAACATCATACTGAATGGATCAGAGCAATCAGGCAAGAGAAAGAAATAAAGGGAATCCAAGTAAGATATCTGTCGGTTTACAGATGACTTGATTCTATATTGGATGGAGGCAGCAAACCACATTGCCATGTATGTACCTATGCAACAATCCTGCATGTTTTGCACATGTGCCCCAGAACTTAAAGTGCAATAATGTGTGTTTGTGTATGTGTGTGTATGTGTGTGAAAAGAAGGAAAATCCCACAATCTTGGCCCAAAACTCCTTCAGCTGATAAACAACTTCAACAAAGTTTCAGGATACAAAATCAATGTACAAACATCACTACCATTCTTATACACCAAGAACAGCCAAAGCAAGGGTCAAATCAGAAAAGCAATTCTATTTATAATAGACACAAAAGAAATAAAATACGTAGACATACAGGTAAACAGGGAGGTTAAAGGTCTCTACAACAAGAATTTAAAAAAACATTGCTCAAATAAATGGTGGAAGACAAAAACAAATGAAAAGGCATCCCATGCTCATGGATAAGAAGAATAAGTATCATTAAAATGACCATACTGCCTAAAGCAATTTACAGATTCAGTGCTATTCCTATCAAACTACCAAGGACATACTTTACATAACTAGGAAAAACTATTTTGAAATGCATATGGAATCAAAAGTAGCCCAAATAGCCAAGCCAATCCTAAGAATAAAGAACAAAGCAGGAACTGCTACAAATTTTACTTAATTCTTGCTATTTTTGTAAGTTTGTTTTATATAATCAGGTTACACTGAATTCTATTTGTGTTCTTAAATTTCACTCATATAATCCAAATAAGTTTACTAAGGCAGTTATTCAACAAGCATCAGATGGCAACATATCCCAAACTAATTCAATTCCAGCTATAATGTGTGAAGTATGATTGCCATTCTCATTGTCAAGTCCTCGATCACACTTACAAATTTATAATTTGTTGGTTTCCTTCAACTTATTTTCTTTTTCTTCACTTTTAAAGCTTCACTGGATGCAATAAAATGACTATCCCAACATCTAAGAGTTGTTTCATTATCTATATAATGATTATAAGGATGCCTTGGCTACTTCATAGGGTTGTTCAAAAATTCAAATAAAATTATGGATGTAATTTTTTATGCAAATTGCAAGCAAAATCACAATTGACAATTTGATCTCAGATAACAAATATAAATGTTTGAAAATTCACAAAACTTGAGTTAGAAAACAATTTTAGAAGTAGAAATCCCAATACTGGCAGAGAGAGTCTCTGTTGGAGAGATTGAGCTGTCAAGAGCAGTAGATGTTGGCTGAAACTTTCATTGTAAGGCTAGCTGAACACTCATGACATCAGTTCATTCCTGTCACTTGTATGGTGTCCTTTGAAGCTTTGCTATAGTGAAGTTGTAAACACTGTTCATTCTAATGATTGTGGATTCGGCTGAGTCTTTCTATATCATTTTTCTTATTAGCTCATTAGCTACTTATAAAGAAAATAAGTACAGAGATTCTCCAACATACCATAAAAGACTGATGCTCAGCATAATGGTAAATTCTTATTTGATGCCAGTAGTTAACCATATTCATGGCTTTGATTGCCATTTTATGCTAATATTATTAACATAATAAACAGCTAACATCCAGCTATTGTGCATCCAAAAGGATAAACACTTTGGTGAAATATTTAAATGATCTCCTTTCTCCAGTGCTAGGGTCACAATGTGCTCTGAATGGCCTTGTGTGTGTGTGTGTGTGTGTGTGTGTGTGTGTGTGTTAATCCCAAATTTGTCTCCTGAGTTTCAGATCCATTTATCCAACTGTCTACTGAACATATCTGTCTGATTATACAATGTATCACACACATATTCAATTTTTCAACAAAACTTTCTTCTCATTTTGTATACACAGTGCATGCTGAATTACTCTGACATTTACTTGGTTGTCTGTGCTAGAAATTGAAGGTCATGCTTAACCCTTTCTTTTTCTTCACCTCCAACTCTCAGTCAATTATAACATCTCCCCATTCCTCCACTTTAGTAACTCCCAAACTCACCCATTTTGCTATAATATCTCCACTGTCACTGTTTTAGTCACAATGCCCTCTCATCTGGATAAACGGAGCAGAATCATGGTATTCCTGTCTCCTATATTCTTCCCACCCCTCTATCACAGCTCATTTTATTCACAAAAAAATACGTAATTCAAAATATGGCAAATAGTCTAAACTTCACCTTCTAAATGGTCTTTATGCCTCCACCTTTAACCCTTTCTATTTAGCAGGAAGAGTGGTCTTGATCATTTTAAAAAATAAGTTAAAACATGAGCAAATTGTTCGTTGGCTTTCCATCTTTATTAGGATAACAGGCTAATCTTGCTTACTGATGAAATTTTATAGTATTTTGATCTACTCTCCCCCTGCAGCCTCCTCTTATTTACACCATTTGCCATACTTCATATATCCTGGCATTATTTCTCTTCTTCATATAAGCCATGGTGTTTCCAGCCTCAATTCTTCTCTTTTTCCTTTTTTTTTTCTTGCTGTTTCATTTCTGTTTCCTTACTCATCTTATGGCTTATGTAGGCACTGGAGGTTAATGCTGTGGCTCCTGGTAAGAAATCATGTGATAGGAAATGTAATTGTTGGCCAAGCACAGTGGCTCATGCCTGTAATCCCAGCACTTTGGGAGGTCCAGGTGGGCAGATAACCTGAGGCTGGGAGTTTGAGATCAGACTGACTAACACTGAAAACCCCATCTCTACTAAAAATAGAAAAAAAAAAATCCTGGCATGGTGGTGCATGCCTATAATCCCAACTACTTTTGAGGCTGAGGCAGGAGAATTGCTTGAAGAGGGAGGTGGAGGTTGTGGTGAGCTGTGATCACACCATTGTACTCTGGCCTGGGCAACAAGAGGGACACTCCATCTCAAGAAAAAAAAATTTAAAAATAACTGCCTACTCCTGGGACATGCAGGGTTTTCAGCAGTCCTGAAAGATAATATATATATTATTATCCATTGCTCTAGTTATCTTTTTTATACTAAAGACAATATTACGATAACAAAATCAATATAGAAATGTGTGATATAGTGTTATGGAAATATTAATGTCACAGCTCATGCAGAGTATTTAACTATAATTCTTAATACATGTTCCATATCCTGTTGCTTTCCCATAAATAAAATAATAGTTGACAATTTAGTTAATTACTTAGCCAATCTTTATATTCTGTTTTATTGTGTCTTTACACCTAAAAGAGAAAGGAAAACTTTTTGCTTTATTGAAAGTATCAATCTTTAGAAACTGTTATCCTTCTTATTTGTGTTTTAGTGTCCTGTGGTGATCACAACCTCCACCTGTGAGCCTTCACCAAAGTTACTGTCTGCAGTTGCTCAATGTGAATGTAAAAAGTATCTGAAGAAAGACTTTCACATTATTATTAATCCTTTCTGCTCCAGGCATTTGCCTATGCCTTTCCTACTCCTTGAGATGACCCTTTCTACTTGCTTTACCTTTTGTAAGCTAATTGTCTCTCAGCTCTTATATCCAAAGTTGGGTTGGGTGCCCTTGTACCTGCCTCCCTCCACTCTCTACCCCTTTCCAGTCTCTGTGGTATCACTTACCGTAGTGTATTACATTCTTTTACAATAGAACTCTGAGAAACATAACCATATCTATTGTATTGGTGAAGTCCAAGGACACAATAGGAACTGAACATTAAGTGGGCAATACAGAATCATTTGATAACTTAATAAATAAATGGTGCCAGAATATTCACAGAGGAGGAGAGTGCCATCTCTAAAAATTAGAATTTTATTGACTGAAAAGGGAATAGCACTTGATTAAATGTGAAAACATCTGGAAGAAACAGACAAAATTATTACCCAAACCACTGCATTTAGCAAATTAAAAATAAAATAGTACATTGGCCAATTATTATTTGACAGTATTATCAATATGAATCTTCAAATAGTATAACTCCCACTTATTAAATACTTATCTAACACTGTGGCAAGTGTTGTTTTGACTCCTCTAAACAATATGAAATGCCAATTTACAACATCCTTTTAACAGATACTCTCAAAGTTCCATATAAAAAAAATTATGGGTCTAAGGACTGAGGGAGTTGGAATGAAAGGCAAGGGCTGGTAATGAGAATGGAAAAAGTTAAATATGAGGCATTTCTGACTATAAATAGTGATTTCTTTTGTATATTCATGAAAGATAATAAGTCTATCACTTTATTGATAATGGTAAAGTTTCAAGAGGAGCGGTAGCTTTCAGTAAAACAAGTGAAGATGTGAGATTTCTTAAAAATAATGTTTCATGTTAGTTTTTAAAAATTTAATCACAATGTTTTTAAAACAACTTCATTTTATTTATTTTCAATGCTTGTTAATTGTTAGTGTTCATTAAAATGCTAAGAATTTTTAGATTCAATAATGATACGACAAATCTTACATATAATACGTAAATAGTCATGTGGTACAATCTGAGCACACTTCATTCATGGAGCACACACATTCAGTGTGCTACAATACATTTTGGTTTCTTCTTCAAAAATAACTCTGACTTCACCTAGTCTCATTTACTCAACTGAGAGTCAAGTTCGGTCAGCTAGTAGCTTGGACACAGTGAACTGATAAATTAGGATTGTAATTAATGGAGACAGATGAAACCACGGAGAGAAAATAATGTATAAATTTGCCATCTCCAGAGAAATCAGTGGCACTTTTCCTTGGAAAAGTCAAGCACCTTCAGTTTGAGGAAAAAGACTACAAAAATGTCTATAATTAGAAAGTTCACATGCACAAAGCAAGTAAAAGCATTTTCCCTTGGCCTGATGATGTTCATAAGGGTAAAGAATCAGGTTGTTGATTCATCTCCTCTTAAATGTGGATCCAGAGTCAAAGCTGTCATCCATTTGATGAGTAGTATCTACAGCTTTTCAGTTTGTGTGACAGATCTCTGTGCTGCCAGGAGGCATGCATAAATCCTAATAGAGAGGGTGGATGGTAGAATGGTTCTTAAAGCAGTCAGTGGTTAAAAAATTACCATCCTTGGATGAAAAATGAGGTCATGAAGATTTAAATGTGGCAAGAAAGAAGAAGGTGCTGTCTGTGCGGGCAAGATACTTAGTGTGAACCCATCTGTGGTAATAGATTAATTGCCTTCATTAGCAAAGATATATATCTCACAGCAACCATCAATAAATGTTTCAGATCCACTTGTGAGTGATTGCTATGTTGATTCAGAACATAAAACTTACTCCCAATGAAAAGTAAAAGTAAATATTTTTCTAAAAATCATAATTCCATAATAAAGAATGTATATCATGTAAAGAACTAGAGATGATAAAAGATTTACTTTAATAAACTACGTTACCTCTAATGAGTAGTTTTTATAAACCTTACAATAGTCTGAGAGATAGTTCTGTTGGAGGAAATGAAACTATCCTAACTGGGCTTGCTTTTGCTTCAGTCTTTAAGAGAATAAGACTTTAAAGAAAAGTGATTTCAGTCAGTTAAGCACTGTCTTAACTCACAGTCCCCATCCTTAGTTCAAAGAGATGACTCCTGCACTTCATTCTTCCATTACATATCATTATTATGTGTGATATTCAGTGGAGAACAATACTCCAGCTCAAAAAGATTTTCATTTTTCCTTAAAGGATACCAGGGTAGGTGGATTAAGAAACCAGTTAGAGAATAATATCTACATAGTTCCTGAAATATTTTAGGTAACTTACAGGTTTAAACATAATGGAAAATGACTAAATTATTGATATTCAATAACATTCAATTTAAAGCAGTCAGAGGAAGAAGGTGATCAGTAGGTTAACAGTAATTGGATATTGCGCATAACTTTAGGTTGCTTAATATATAAAGTAAAAGATGAAAAGTGTTTTCCTTTATAACAAATAAAAACACCCAATTATTGTATAGAGAACTGATATTCAGGACAAAATACAGCATAAGAACTTTTAAATGAGTCCTAGTTATGTAAGGGGCATTAGCTAAAAACATTTAATAGCTTCCATGGGGGTCACAGAAGAAACACTGTAGTATATAATGTCAAGTATTTCAAATGCACTCAAATCAATCCCGCCAGATTGGTTTCACTATTCGTTCTTCTGTGTTTATACTAATAGCAAATATCTTGCATCTCATAAACCTTTATTATGACCTAACTGACAGGGACTGTGTAGTGGTCAAGAAAAGAGAAGCCGTCTTTGCAGTATATTGTGTCTTACCATAAGAAAATAAGAAAAGAGAGGGAAGGAGTATTACCTTAAGCCATGGCATACAAAAGGCTCTGTAATTTATTCATTTATTCATTAATCCAAAAATCTTTGTTGAGCCTTTACTATGTCTTTGGTAATGCACATGTTCTGGGAACAAATCAAGGAATGAAAGGGACAAGCATTTCTTCTCTAATGTAATTCACATTCTAGTTGGAGAAGAAAACCAAAATTAAAATATAAGTTATATAAAATGTTAGAAAGTGATATATATGTGATGGAAAATGGAACAGTGTTAAGAAGACTGAGAGGGTGTTGATAGGGAGAGGCAGTGTGTCTCCCTAAAAAAGAAATGAAGACTGTCAGAGGTAAGGAAGTGTGCCATGTGGGTATGAGGAAAGATCATCCAAACAGCAGGAACAGCCAATGCAAAGACTGGCAAGTGGATTTATATGAATCATATTCAATAAATGTGAAGGAGGCCACTCTGGGTGAAGCAGAGTTGATTATGGGGCAGGCACTAGAAAGATGTGCTCTTACATAGACTTTGGTCTTATTTATGTTTGTTCTGTCTCACTTAAGGACAGCTTCACACGTACATTCATACCCATACATAACCCACACATTGTTGGCTTTTAATTAACTTAGAGTTAAAATCCTAATTATGTCTAAAAAGGGAGTAAAGAAAATGAGAATGATTTTGAATACATTTCTCTTAGTGAATTCACAGGGCCTATTTTTATGACACTGGGCTCCCTTTAAGCAGTTGTTTTGTTTTTTGTTTTGAAAAAAAATAAGAGAGAGAGAAAAAAAGAAAAATAAGGAATGAAGGAGAGGAAGAAAGAGGAAGAGAAAGAGGGAGGAGAACGAGAGTGTTGCTTTATTCTAAAAATGTGTATTGAAAACCTCTTTTATGCCAATAATTATGCTTAATAATGGCCAACAAATATTTCATTTAAACCTGTGAGTAGGTGTGATGTCATACTGATAAGAGTGTATATTCTGTGTATTTAAAGTGGAGAGCTCTATAAATGTTTATTAAATTTACTTGTTCCAGATCTGAGTTCAAGTCCTGGATATCCTTATTAATTTTCTGTCTCGTTGATCTATCTAATATTGATGTTGAAATCTCCCACTATTATTGTGTGGGAGTCTAGGGAGTCTAAGTCTCTTTATAGGTCTTATATATCTGGGTGTTCCTGTATTGGGTGCGTATATATTTAGGATCGTTAGCTCTTTTTGTTGCATTCATCCTTTTACCATTATATCTTTGTTGCTTTAAAAACTATTTTATCAGAGGTGAGAATTGCAACTCCTGCTTTTTATTTATTTATTTTTACTATCCATTTGTTTGGTAAATCTTTCTC